CAAGATGATTCTCACCTCAGACTGCTCAGCCTCAGACTGCTCAACCCTGCAGTCGAGGAGACACAAGAACAACACATTCAAGAATCTGCTTGCATTTGCTTAATAAACCTGCAAAAAATCAAAAGATTTTCCCAGATGGGATTTACCCATAGGGAAAAGACAAATCGTCTTAAGCAAATTCAGGTCGGGGTGTACGATTTGAAAGCTCAAGCCCCGACGAGGGAGCTCAGTTTGAAAAAACACCTACTGTATATGCATGAGTTTTGTGCAAAGGGGTGTAACTGTGTAACGAGGGAGGACCAAAGTTCTCGAAGTCCATAGTCCAAATCAAGTAAGTTTCCAACATTTCCTAAGTAAGCATAAAGTGTCAAGGTTCAAAAGATTGTGTCTAAAGGTGGTCAAGAGGGTGCAAAATCCAAAAAAGGTGCATATCCGAGAATGCATGACACCACTGCCCCGCCGAGAATTCATCAAAGAAAAAAACAAATAATTGCAAACCCGTGACTCTATATTCACACACACACACACACTACGTATTACACTAAAGGCTCACTGAAATGGGCCAGTTCTGATTGTTTTCCCTGGTTCAGGCAAATTCTTAGATTGCGGAGAAATCTTTGTTCACACACTATGTGACAAAGCCAGCGGGTTGCAAAAAACTTCCGTTCTCCCACTAGTTGGACTGAGGTGCGAAGATCGGCGAACCTTCTCGCTACAAAAACACAGCCTGAAGCGATTTTAGGAGCTTTCTTCCTAAGACATCAAAAGACTATAGGCCATGGAAGGGCTATCCGGGATCACTGAACCACCAATTTGCTACGGCAGGTGGATGTGGGAACTCAGTCACCGATCTGGGCGCTGTTTCAGAATCCTCCCCGACTTGGGCTCCAAACGAGATGGCATGGATGACATGGCAAACTCCTCTACATGCTGATGATGTGGCAGAACGCCCCGGTTTGATGAGCTGACAAATTTGTATCTGCGTGTGGTTGGAACTGCCGGGGGTTGTGCCATTGCTCCTGAACAAACATATGTTTTTTAAGAGTCAGTGTTAACTCATGTTACAAACTATGACTATGGCGCAGGTTTTAGACATGTTTGATCATGTTGGCAATCGAATTATTGATTTGCCTTCAACAAAAACCTATACTCAACCTCTTAAACATACCAAATCCCAATACATAGCTCTTGCTCAATCCAATTACTGGCAAATTTGCCACAACACAAACATGCACTTCAAGTCCTTCGCTTGGCCCAATTTCCCCACACATGGATCATGAATAGTTTTGCCATGCCGAACTTTGACGCCTAATAGGACCCTATTCCAACCTGATGCTTAGGACAATTGAATCAGCAGGTGCGTTTGGACACATGAAAAAGGATGAAAAAGGTGCTTTGAGCCAATAAGGGTCCTCAAGAGAGTGCAGAATCCATCCTACACTGGAGGCTGCAAGCCCTGCAGGATGCTGGTCGAACAACAATCAGGCGCGGGCAGGTCGTTTCGCACCAGCCAAACATACCTGACCTATACTTGACTGTACACGTGCGCTGAGATGGGCCGGTGTTTACCGGAAGTGAGACGAGTCAAGAAGAGAAACGAGCTGAACGCCCCAAGTCTCTGTGCAGGAGTCCTGCCCTGACCATTTGCATGTCTTGCAGAATAATCTGTTACAAAGCTTACGATAAGGCAAAAACTGTCCATCTTGAAAAGCAGTGCAAGCTCTTACTATGCTGATCACCGATCACCCCTCATGACTGTGCCGCGTGGCAGCGAGCATTAGGCGGGACCCTCCGGCAGCGTATCACCTTCAGCCCTCGAGGCAGAACGAGTCGAAGGAGTTTCAGAATTGGCATCTGATCCCTGCGTCGAGTTCCGAAGGCGATCGTGGCGAGGAACGTCTTTTCTGGATCAACATGATGCGTACATATCGTTTGAAGCATTTCCCACCATTTTTTGGTTGCCCCATGCCCATATCCATCCGACTCGAATGGATTTCTTCAATACAGTTAATGGAGTTGTTACCTGAGAAGAGAGAGAGAGAGAGCCTTCCGTGGCTATGGCTATGTGAGTGTACCTTTGATTTTGCAAAGCCCCTTGTTTGGAACCCTATGGAACACAGGATTGACAGCGTATGTGATAGGACAACCATATAAAGCAAACCAAGGTTAGGATTAAAGTGATTACAGTTTGTAAAAGAACAATCGGTATTTATGCAGGCCATACGATGACTGTAAGTGTTCTAAGGCATTTGATTCCATTCCTTCATCCAGCAGGTGTACACAGAGATGTGCAACGTTGTTTCTTTAAGTCAAAACCAATGAAATGCACGTCAACAACATTTATATAAACATATTGTGTTTTAAAACATAACTGAATAGTATAAATAATATATATGTATGATAGTAAATGCATATCTATTCCAAAAGCTCTGAGTCTTCGGGAAGCAACAAATCGCGAACCGCCCGGTGGTGGGTCAGCTCCAAAGACCACGCAGGCGGTCAAGGACTCTACATGGCAGGCCTCGTACAGTCCCTGCAATCATCAGGGATGTCGAAAATGGTTTGGATGAGCGTTTTCCTCAAGAAAAAGATGGTTTTCCTCTCAAGGAACTTTTGAAGGAGCCTTTGTTCAACAGTAAAGTGCTCCTTCTACCTCTTTGACAAACACACACAATACCTCTGAACAAATACAGTAATTACCTGACGCAAACCACCATGTCCAAAAGAAAACTGCAAAGTTTAAACAAAGCTAAAGCAGCTAAACCATGTCTTCTAGACCAGGGCAGGTGTACACCAAACTCTCAGCTAAACCGATCAGATCAGCCCGGACCTCCCATCCATCGGACCAGTCGTCATCATCTGATCCAATGGCGAAGATGGAATCTCCCAAGTTCGCCTTCAAAGCGAATGGAAGCAAAGACGTGAAGATTCTATTTTGCCCGAGAAAGACCAGGTGGATCGCATCACAAACAACTAAAGCTGTGAAGTTACTTGTGTTTAAACGATCTTCGGACAATGCCCCTTTTTGCTGTTAAAAACTTGAGATAAAAAGTTGGTAGTCAGAACACCATGTGCTATATGTCATATGATGTCATATTATGCATTGAAACGGTGCCGTTTGGATCATAGATGATTGTGGTCGCCTAGTACTGTAGTAGTTCAATTGAGACACACAAACACACACGTACATGTTGAGACACGCAAACCGCATCATTCATACGGCCAGCTGAAGTGCCATACAACTGAAATGCACAGCAGGCTGAGAAATGCCATTCAACCAACGAGAGAAACTTAGTCATCCGCTCAAATGCCTCGTCCTCCTCCTGCTTCGATGCGTTGGCATCTTTGGCTTTCCAAGACTGGCCCTTCTGCCGGATGTCATGTGCCAAGCTCTTCATGTTGGAAGAGACCTGAGAAGCAAAACGGTTCCCAACTGGCGGAGTGACGGGGCTCAGAGCGAGTCCAAACTCTGCTCCGTGGTAGGTGGCCATTCTGTTCATGTCGCCCATCGGTTCTATATCGAGGGTCCGAGGGTCCTGCAAATTGAAGACCCCGACTTCTAAACCTCAGAAAAAAATGACAACTAGTTACAGTACTGTACCTCAAAGAAATCCAAAGAACCCCTGACAGAGACAAGCATGTACCAGGGTGCCTCAACAAGCTAAATGAAGGACTGCAACTATTAAAACCAACATAAACCAGCTGATGCATCAAGAATGCACTGCCACCCATGGCACCTCCCGGCCCGACTCTTGGCACCTCTCGGCTCTTCTTGGCAATGCTTCCCTTCAGTTTTCCCCCCAGCTTCTTCACGCGCTCCACAGCTTCATGCTCCCGCTGTTCCGTCTCCAGATGAACCACGTTCGCGCAGGTGGAAGGCTGAAGCCACCAGGGATCTGCCTGCGTCGGGCCCGGCGATCCCGTTGGGGGGGCCGCGGCCCCCAATCGGGGTGTCCCGGCAGGGGGTGGGAGCCATAGCAGTCTGGGCTTCATTGCAGCCCTAAACCAGGTGCAAAGAGTTGGTTTGTCCTACGTAGGCCACCAAACTGAAGCCCTGTTGGGCTTGATCAAAGTGTGGACTCCTGGGAGCCAATCTCCGATTCATCGATGCAGTGACACATCCATTGTCCGTTGAGATCAACGATGTTGTGGTGTAGTATGTAGAATTGCGCGAGTAACAATGTTGAGATACTTTTTCACACATAAGGCGCCAATGGGAAACCAAAGCGCGTCGTGTGGTGCAGGGGATCTGCTGGATTCGAGCGCACCTTAGAGTACATCCCGCCGAAGAGGGTGAGAGAGACTGTCACCTCACCAAATAAAGACAATCAGCCCCGCAACCAAAACCATACCCTATATTCCAGTCAAAACTAACCAACTGTGTAGCCACCAGCCGCAAGCGGGTCTTCCAATTCAACATAGAACGGACGCGACATGCAAATCTAGCCGATACGGAGTGAGTAATATCCACTTGTAACCCACAAAACAAAAGCACACAACTCCATACAAAATCAAACGTCGCATCCCCCCAACCACCCAAGAATCATAAGCATCCCAACACCTCAAAGGCAACTTGACTTCGACTTAAGACATCAACCAAAAGTCTCGCCTTGCAACACCGAATCCCCATTCGACACGTGACGTCCCGTCGCGCCTTCTCCTCCTGCAGCCGGCTCCGCAGCCCATCCCCGGCCTTCCGGAAGGCCGCCTTCCTCGGGGACCACCGAAGGGGTCGGGTCACTGAGGGGAACGGCGAACGGAAGGTCGAAACGGCGAAGGCGAAGGGAGAATGAACGCTTGGAGGCGGCATTGATCTTTTGCAAGCAGATCTGAGTAAGTGGTAGATGGGTGGGCGATATCGAAGTTTCAAGGTGCATCTTGTGCTTCAAAAGAGGTCCTCCTTTTGTGTGACTCGTCTCCCTAAACAAGACATGACCAACCAAACAAACGGCCGGAAGAGTTTAGCATTCTGGGGCTAGCTTCACTTTGTTGAAGCTGCTGTCTTTGGGATCTTTGGGATCCTCCTCTTGCTTGCTTTCTTCTGCTTCAGATTGACCTCGCCACACCTGCGCGAAAGGGAGGCTCCGGCCGGTGTTGGTTTGGTGTGTTTCTCCAGGTGACATCTTGATTGGAAGTAAACTGCTACGACCCAAAGTCTGAACAAGTATTAAATTGTTAAATTACGTTCTTCTGTCTTTCAGTAACTCAAAGCCTGACCTACAGTAATCCCGAGTACCTATTCAAAAAAAACACACCCCTATTAAAAAAAAAATGTTAGACACCTAAAAATAGAGTTGATATTTGTTCGTAAATAAAACCGCTACTAAACTACCAACATGGTCGATTTTGGTGTAGTTTTTTAACATTAATTTGGTTCTAAAAAGGACCCTAAATATCCCTAAATGCCCACCTCTGTCCACCGCGCAGGTTTACCTCCCCCCAACGGCACGGACTCACGTGACATCACCTTTCGAAAGCTTTAGTTGTCAGTCCGATGAAGAATCAGTATAATACTATTAAAGCTATTTATCAAGGGAAAAGGAAGACCTTTCGATCTGGAGGCTTTTTCAATTTTAGCGCAGGATTGCCTTTAACAGCCCTCTCGTAGCACAGGATCGCCTTTAAAAGTCCTCTCGTAGCACAGGCTTGCCTTTACGAGCCCTCTCGTAGCACAGGCCTGCCTTCACGAGCCCTCTCGCAGCACAGGATTGCCTTTAAAAGCCCTCTCGTAGCACAGGATTTGCCTTTAAAAGCCCTTTCGTAGCACAGGCTTGCGTTTAAAAGCGCCCTCGTAGCACAAGCTTGCCTTTAAAAGCCCTCTCGTAGCACTCGTAACACAAGCTTGCCTTTAAAAGCCCTCTCGTGGCACAGGATTGCCTTTAAGAGCCCTCTCGTAGCGCAGGATTGCCTTTAAAAGTGCCCTCATAGCACAGGATTGCCTTTAAAAGCATTCTCGTAGCACAGGATTGCCTTTAAAAGCCCTCTCGTAGCACAGGCTTGCCTTAAAAGCGCCCTCATAGCACAGGCTCCCGGACCAAGAAATTGGGCATACGTTTGTTTTGTATTTTAATATATTTATTTTTTTATTTTTATTTTCCTCTTTTTCCGCTTTACTATTTGAAGTCTCTCGCCCCGGGGCCTGCTCACAAACCAGGGCCGGAGCCACCGTAGGAAACGTATCCAAAAGGGCTCTCGTAGTGCCCGCCTCTGTCCCTGGCGGTCGCCGCTTCTCGGACTTTCTCCGCGGCGAAATTCCTTGGAGGAACTTTTTTTGCTTGCTTCTTTTGCTTTTTCTCCTTCTTCTTGAACGTCTTGAGGTATTGCTTGTACTCCTCTGCGCTCACCTCTTTGGTTCCGCCGTTGCCCGCGCCGTCGGAATTCTGCATGGCAGCGGCGGGGCTGAGGAATCGCAAGACGCAGCTGGGGATCTGTTTTCAGCTCCACAAGGCGGCATTCCGCATCGGCGTCCCAATCATCCCAGTTAGTGTCACTGGGAACTGGTGGAGGGGGCTTGCGCTTGGGGAACCTGCGACGTCTGTGTGAGTCGCAGGACGAGTTTAGTAAAGGATTGTTAAATATAATAGATAATATTATACTTAATATGCATAACTTTCCTGGGTGACTTTTCAGTTTTGATCCTCCCACTGACCCTATTTTGGACAACCCCGATTTCAGGGACTCCCTATTTAAAAAAGCACACCCGAGTTGTTCTTTTTTGGTAAGGGAGAGCCCGGTTTTTTAAATCGATTTAATAGGCGGAAGGGATTAGTAGAGGAACCTTCTTCTACTCATCCATATTATCATCTCTGACTCTGTGACCAACCTCCATGTTATGCCAACATTGGTGAACTGCAGCATCGCAGCACCTGGCGGATGTCGTTGACACTGAGGCGGACCTGCAAAGAAAGGTCTGAGACTGGATGTTTTCTCGCTGTTGAAACTACAACATCCATTCATTGATATTCATTGAACCAATGGAGCACATCCATTTCTCCATGTTTCGTCCAAAAACAGGTGATTCTTCGCCGAAAAACATGTTTTTCTCTGGCCTCGTTCATGACTTCCTGCCGGAGCTCCGACACGTCCTTCGCGGTCATCGCCAGGTTCTGCCGTACGGCGTGCAGCGCACTGGACTCCTGCAGCGCGTGATGCGAACGGCTCATCTCCGCTGGTGCCGAGTCTTCGCTTCCAAGCCAAGCCATTTGGCATCCATTTGCGTACACCCCGGACCTTCGATGTTGCATGAAAATTGATAGCTTATTGTCAAACATGCCCTTCGTTTGGTTGCTTTGCAAAGGTTGCCTTTTTGATCCTTTTTGTTGGGGAATGTCAGGAAAAGTTGCCGTTTCCAAATTTACTTTGATTTGACATCAAACATTGACATGTAAGAAATGCTTCAAAGACCAAACTGATTGCCATGCAGAAAAATAGCATACTGCATACTGCATACTCAAGAAAATCCCGATGTGAATAGCTCTGAAAACTCACTTTGATGCCGATGTCAGTCCTTTTCTTTCTCCTTCTCTTTCTCATTCTCTTTTGCCTTGTCATCTTCCTCGCAGGGGTCAATGTGTTCAAATCACCTACTGCTCTTCGTACCTCAGAAAATGGGACGTGACACTAAAATATCAGGTACGACTGGGGCTCCATTTTCTGAGGAACGAATTCCGGGTCAATCAATGTCCTATACAACATCTGAGACCATACATATTATAGTAAAGCCGGAATATATCAAATGCGGCAGGTCTAGAACTATAAATCCATGAAGAATTGTGCCAGCCTCTACAGTACAGTCACTTGACATGCCTGCGAAGGGGGATAGTCTAGCAAGTCTAGCAGCCAGCTTGTCATCCGCTTGTCTGGCTGGCAGTATCCACGTCGTTGACAACCTTGCCATCCACTCTCACCTCTTTCAATTACATGTCCCCTGGATGGGCTGCAGCTCACCTAGCTGCATGGTGGGCATGGCAAGCCGGCTCGGAATGGTGCAACGGAATGGATCCGAAGTCTCCCACCTTCCAATGGTGCACTAAGATTCCTGCAATTCCTCCTCAACCAAAAAAAAAGACTCAGGCCTCCACCCCACAGACCACCCACTCGCCGAAGCGCGCCCCCCTCCCCGAAGCCCCCCCCGGCCGCCGTTCGAACACGCCTCTGCACGGGGGCTCTCGTCCCGCTTCGCACCGAAGCTGCGCAGCTTGGCACCGAAGGCACTGCGCCAGCCACGGGTCTGCTCCTAGGCGCCCGTAGACACCATGGCTGCACCCGCGCCCACCCGCATGGCGCATGGTGGGAAGGGTTCGGAATGGATGGTTAGGTTGGAAATGGTTGGAAGGTCACCGACATGTCTTCACATCCTTCGAGTGCTCGTGGGGGGCAAGTCGAAATCCGTGGCCCTTCGCGAATTCCACTGCCCGTGGGTCACCTGAAGCTAGTCACCTGAAGCTAGGCTTCGAAACCATTTGATCCATCAGCCACCAGGTTCCACCCTTCAAATTCGACGATGCCCCCCACAGTCAGTCTCTCATCGTCTCCTCCAAATCCTGCTTGGTGAGCTGCATCCCTTCTCGTACACCTCCCGCAATGTCACGCATATCGTCCTTGACCTGCTTGGCTTCCTCCACAATGGCCTCCCCGACAACCGGCAGGAGAACCAGTGAAGGAGAAATCCAGGAGAACTGGTGGAACCTTGTGGAACTGGTGATTGGCGGTGTCTATGTGTGACATCAAGGTTTCCTGGCATGTAGGGAAAAACACAACACATTGTGTACCTAATGAGATCATGAAGTAGTGTGTCCTTGCTGAGAGTGATTTAGGCGATACTCTTCAGTATCGGCGCTCCTGTTCAGAGACAACTGTCACTGTTTAGGATGGTCACATGTCACATGTCGCCCAGAGATGTCCACCCTCTGTGGCCGGCTCAGTCGTGAAAACAATTGGTCACAAAGGGAGGTTCCTGAGTGGGTCGCCCTGAGGTATCCTGAGTTTAGCCAGGAGACAAGCAAGGCCACAGGGCCACGAACGGCGTGGTGGAGCGAGCTGCTGTTGCGATGGTTCAGCATTCCAGTGACGTTTTCTTGTGCATCCAACCTCACAACCTGTCTCTTCAAATCTCCCCCAACCTCTTATTAGGAACTCTCCATTAAGCCGCGCCTGGCGTGCCTTGTTGAGAAAGGGGCTCGCTTTCTTTTTCAATGAGGATGCCTTGACGAACCAAGATGACCGGTCGCTTCTTTACATTTATGAAGCTGCGTGATGCAATATACAAACCATCTTCCTAGGTCTTGAAACCCAGAAATCCCTACTTAGAGAGATCATGCCCTTAGGCCATAAGGGTCAACAAAAGAAAGATCCAGAACACATCAAAGCATAGGTCATGTGAATGACCAAGAGAGCAATCCCCCTACATCATAGTCATAAACTCTATCATAAAACTCTATCATAAGACTCATATATTATATGATATTCAAGTAAATTAATTGACTTCTGTTCCTGTGACATCCCGAGTACCAAAAGGACGCCATCCGGACGACGCACGTTTCCGGCTGGTTTTTCCCAGCGACGGAGCCCAGCAGCGCGCCGAAGCGACTGTGGCCTCGCTCCTCCCTGGCACCGTGTGAGACCGGAGTGGTGACACACGGTGAGGTGCTGAATCTCTTAGAAATAAGTTACAGAAGGTCAGTATGGTGGAAGATGGTCAAGTGTACAGTATTCATTTGTTCTTCTTTTGCGGTGGGCACCTATTGGAGTCCAGCCGTTCCAGCCTGTGGGTGCGAAGGAATAGCGAGGGATCGCTGAAGACTCATTCATTTCATGCCTGGACACCCTTTTGAAAACACACATTCACCAAAAGGCGATAAACTTTGGAGATGAACACCGACGGTTCTCTAAAGTGTGAGACGTTCAGGACGTTTCATCCCAACGAAAATCCTGAGATCTGTCAATTTAAGGAATCTTCAAACGTATAACCTTTAAAGGATGTTGGTCATTTCTGTTTACCAAACAAATAATGATCACCTTATGTTAAACCTTTCATTGATGAGCGGAAAAAACAAAAAACATGTTTCTATCGATATGAAATGCTTAGAACATCTTCGAAACCCACTATCTTGAATCAATACCCCAACCATCCCCAACCCTTATTTGAGTCTAAAAAAAGAAAAACACGTGGCAAGACCCCCCAAACAAAGACCACAACAAACGTGGCGAGTTGTTCAACTGGCGGAGCCCCTCCAAGCGTGTCCAGCTCCACTGCTCCGCGGAGACGTCCGGCTCAACGGTCTCGCCAGCCGCCGTCTCGGGGGGTTCGGAGCGTGTCTACACGGTCCGAGGTCCAAAGAGGTCTGTCGACACCCAACCTTCATAGAACAGAAATGAACAGAAGGCCTCTAATTTTTGTTCTTGGTCTCTCGGCTCTGTGTAGCCCACAATTTGCAATCAAGTCCATCGTTTTTGCGTGTGTGCGTGGAGCGAGAGAGAGAGAGAGAGGGATAAAAAAAGAAAAGGAAGGTGGCATCAACAGCATTTTACGCGAGTATGAAGAGTATTTTTGGAAGAATGCAAACCACCCAATGCCAATCAGGGATGATCTACACTACACTCCTCACTTTGTGTGTGTGTGTTTGTGTGCAAATTTGCTTTCTCTTTGTATGCACATGGGCCGGGTGTACATTCGTTCAGTTTCATTGGGATACAAAATCTCATCATACATCACATGCACCAAATACCGGGTTCATACATAAGGGAAAGGTGTGGAGCGTATCTGTGGATGGCAACTGTTGCTTGCGGCTCAAACGGCTGACCCACGTGGGGCCCGTGGAGAAGCGCCCAATGAGGAATATGACAAACATATCCGTCCGACTATGTTTATGCCAACGATGCTAACCGGGACCCTGCGCCAATACCACCATTTTGGAGGTCTTTCAGGTTAGGGACTATGCGCGGAGCATCTGGCTTAGCGTCGTTGGCAGCAACCGTGCATCTTGGAGTTGGGGTGGTGGAGGGTGGGCTGGGTGTGTAATGTCCATATTTCTGCAGACGTTTTTCATATGCAGCACGCAATCGAACTTTGCCTTGCCTTTGGTGTGGTTCTATTGTTTCTGTTGAGCCGTGGGACCCCTTTCGGACTTTTGTTTCCAACACCGTTACATACTGTTGACCGAGGGCCATTGAACTGGGAAGGGTTAGCAAGTTGCATTTCCCTAAATGCCACCTCAAGTGCCTTTCCCCAAAGAAGCTAAAAACATCTTCAAACCTGCTGTTTTTGCAATTTTTGAAGTGACGTGTTCAAGTGATGCGTACAAATTGCGCGGGGCCCCGGTTAGCGTAATGCCTTGTCTTTCCTGGTTGAAAGTTGAAAATGCGAAGTCAAGACTGCTGTTAGAGTGGCTACGATACAATTACCCCAAGCCTTGTATCTTTTGCAAAGCAACCGCCGTAAGCATTTACTGGATAAACACTTGCATGCTGAGTACGCGACCGGATACCCACCAGACGAGCCTGGAGCATCAAAGCAAACAAACAACTCATGATATCTCGTGATTCCTGAGGCCTCACCATTGGCCGTGCAAAGCACATTGCCCCTATAACCCTTGGGTGACACTATAACAATTGCATGTGTTGCTTGTGATAGGTAGTGGCATAGGACGACAAAAAGGAATGGGGAGCAGTGTCCATAGACTGTTTAAAGACCCCGATATGCTCAGTGAGTTCTGCTATCATCTGCACATCCCCACACATCTGCTGGGGCCTGCGGGCTCTCCATCCTGTGGCGGCACCTGTGACAGTCAAATTGATCAAATCAAGTGGGACTGAAGGGCGCCCAACGCAAGCGGCACAAGCGGCGCAAGCGGGTGTGCGAAAATCAGGCAGTTCATAAAACATAGAAACTGGTCAGCAATTCCAACGGTTTCTATCATTGAAAGCTAACAATTGTTTGTGATGGAACAACTCCGCAACTAACAAGGAACAACACTTTGTTTTGTTCTTCGCCATCGGCATCTAATTTCCATATCCATCTCCCCACAGTCTGCCTCGGAGGATGCCATGCTGCACAAGGATTGGATGCTCTGGGGCGTTGACCAAGCTTTGTGGCTTTGGAGTTCATGGATTGGTGGGCTTGATAGGCTAAAGCAGCAACTGGATTGATCTCTCGTCATGGTGGCTTTTTCAAAAAGGCTTGACTGCGTGTGCTTCCGGTGCCTTTGTGGCATAGATCAGGTGGCATCATTAAGTGGGTAAATTGATGTGTTGCACGAGCTAGAACAGCTGCAATGGGCAAACGCTTGATCCATCATGATCCATCAACCTTGATTCATCTAGCAAGCAAACACATGCTCGACTCTGCCATATTCTAGAATCATCTAGAATCTATAGAATCATATTCTCACGAACAACTTGACTACAGCACACAAGGGTGGAAGGCAGAACTACCACAATCTGGAGAGCAAAACACGTCCAAGGATGCAAAGGAAGTGGAAAACGCCTCATGTGCAAAAGGATGCAAAAGGAAGGTAGTCTTCCAAGGGGCCATTGTCCACGTTCGTAATTGTTGGATAAAGGCGATCGAGGGATTTTCTAAACTTACTATATATATATATATATATAGACGACCCAAACTGACGAAGGAGAACGGACTCTTTCGCGCACTGCAGGCAGTCCGCAAGCGCGCCCGAGAGTTCCTCGCTCAACTCAGTGTGGAGCCGTAGCCTGAGGGCAGGGCCATCCCATCCACCAGGTTTCACTCTTGGGGGCGGTGGAAGCCCAGCCCTGATAAGGGACAAATACAACTGGTGGCTCCCCGAAAAGCCCAGGGCACAGCAACCAGGCGACCCACTTTCCTGATGACGCCAGGTATTTGAAGAGGGGTAGACCCGGATTTTGTTGAAATACTCCCCTATCTGAGAACCGCACCACTTCGGGGTAGACTATGGCAAACTCCCCTCAACAAGCATTCAATATCAAACAAAACAAACGGTCGACTTAGACACGACATGAAGCGACAAAACAAAGTGGTCAAAATGTGGAAATGATGTTTGCTTCCGACCAATGCGCCAAAGAAGGGCTCAATATCGGCTGAAGAAACAAGTACACTGTACACGTCATCATGTTCTTCTTCTTCTTCTTGCAGCATAGTATGCTGATGTATGCTGCAAACCGTTTGGCCAACACACAAACCGATTGAGCCTACATAGCCTATCAAAACACTCCAGGTCAAGATGGTGCAAAACCCAAGCACCTGAAAATCGTCTCTGCCTGGGCAAGAGAGGGTAAGGTGGGCTGGGCAAACCCGAATGGTGCAGGAACATGAGCAACCGGAAACCAAATATAACAAAACCATGTATTCAAACAATCAAAGCTGGCTCTCGTGATACTGCTTTCCTTAACATGCAGCTATTAGCTAGGGCGACCATGCAAATCGGACCCACCGGCTATGAGAGGCTTCTTCAATCGGGAGAATCCAACGCTACTTAGGCTGTCATTGAGCTGAGTTTGTCTTTACTAGGAACAAGAAGCTACTAGGGGCTCCTGGCATCGCTACTAGGAGCAAGGACGCTACTAGGGGCTCCTGGCCTTACTACATCTTACTACTAGGAGCAAGAAGCTACTATAGTACCAAAGTGCGCGGTTTGTTGAAGACCGCAGTGTGCCGGGATCCCTGGACCCTTCCGTCGCTGGCTGCTGTTCAGCCCAGTCTGTTTGGTCGAGGTTTCGGGCTTCCGAAACGACCAGTCTGACTGATTGCCGTGCGCGCTGATCCACATAAGGTTCGGGCGATTCCAAGGCCGCACTTTCGGCTTGCAGCATCATCACCTGGAACAAGGAGACATGACTAGAGACACGATCAGCAAAGAGTTGGGGACCGGGCAAATTCAAACCTCTAAAGCAACAAGTCTTCTTGTTCGGCACTTACCAGATTTTAGATGTCTTTTCTCTCTGATTATGTCTGTTAATTGTGATATCCAACATCTGGTGTCCTCGCCATCCCGCAATCTTCACCTTGTCGACGCTAAAACGGGTCGACTGCGGCCTCGCGTTGCTTTTGTACCCGCTGCCGCTGAATGGACCAGGCCTTAGCGTGGCCGTCTGTGAACGAGAGGACTCGTTGGGTCTTCGCGCTGCGTCTTTGAGCGTGCACGTAGCAGGCCGAAAGAATGACTTCACGTGAGAATCACCATGTCTCAGGATTGTCTCAGGTTGAGATCCTTGTCTCGATGTCTGCGAAGTCAGGCGAATTGCCCGGTTGCCGAGCACTGTGCTTGGGATACACCGGTGCTTCACAGCACATGGGAAGTAGGGCATGATTGGACCATGTTCATGCGACAGGGACCAAACCCAGTAAACTAAGCTCTGCGACGCTATAGATAAATCCCAACGCCACGAACAGGGCTGTAGCGGAAAGGACCTGTGCGGAGCCCGGTGGAAAAGGGGCTCCGGAACAAGCCTGCCAGAGCTGTCCGTCTAACCGGTAGACATGGGATGGGCCACAAATTCAACACGTATACTTATACTATACAAAAACATATTTTGGGAAGCAAGACCCTACCCAAAAGCATGGCAGGTTTACCAGGTATGAGACATTTGCCGGAGTACTGCGGTGACGTGGCGTAGGTTTTGTTGGGATGTCATGAACTGTACAAGAACAAACAATCAAACAGAAGTTCAAAGTGTAAACAGTGTAAATCAAAAAATATCGATTTCTTGTTGACATTCCGAGGAGAGACTGGCATTGTCATGAGACAATCCCATACATTTACCAGCAAAGCATGTTTAGGCCGGATCCTTTCATCATCTTTCATCCAATCAGGTCAGATTCACGAAGGCCCAATGAGGCACGTTGTTCATCACCTAGAGCTGCGATTGGAGAGACTTGGATACGGTGGATCCGTGCTGTGTTTCACAGCACGTGAGTCCTGTAACTACTGTTTACTCTAGGCTCGACCGTAGGCATTCATGATTCAACACCAGCTCTGAGTAAAGCAACAACTGCCAGCACTCCAACAGGGTGCGATGTAGGTCGCACCACGGTCGCTTGTTTCAATGCAATGTCGGCGGCCCGATGACTTCATGCCCCTGGATACCTCAATATAGCCCGGTGTCCAGCATCTTTTTCGCAACGCGACTCTCTTCTGCCAAGCGAAGCCAAACATCATCTGAGCTGACCCAGAACAAATATAGTTACAGTAAAACAAAAGCCTTCGGCCACGGGGTGAACCCTGATATTGAACGGACGAAGGATCCGAAGGCTCTCTGTGTCAGTTCGTTTACGTCCCCTGCGGAGGATCTTCCTGTGCCGTTCCAAAGCGCCTTGAAGCTCGCCGCAGTGCCCACTGGGCTGGACCCGATGCGCACCTAGGATTTGGGGAGACAACGGAGACGGAGACTGGCACTGTTTCTTTTTCGGATGCTGGGTTTAGGGTGCTTTTGCAGCCGCAAATTTGGGACCTGCAACAGCTGGGAGCGGCTGGGAGGAACTAGTAGGTGGTTTCATCCGCTTTGTTTGGACAGCAAAAGTCGATGAAACTCGGAACGTTTTGGTCCACAGGCTTGGTGCAGGGTCGCCCCTTCCTTGCACCAGGTTCAAGGCATCAACATGAACTCGGAGCCTCTTCAGCAAAGCTCTCCGGGGCTAGCTTGGGCTCTCCGGGGCTGGTGATCTCACATGTATATCGAACTCCTCGAGCTGTTTACCATGGCCATAGACCAGGAGTCAAGCTGTTCAAAAGAAGCCATGCTATGCCGCTGTGCCTGCTTATCACACTTATATACAATATATATATATATACTTATTAATCCCCTTGAAAAATGCCGGAACCCTTCCATGTCTGCAAACACACTCTCTGGCTGTGGAAAAAGGGGGCGACTCCACCTGACTCCGACTCGTTCCGTGCGGCCCCCGGCCAGGTCGTAGATCCACCAGAGTCCCAGACCGCCCGCCGTCAAGAGCTGGCCGGGTGCGGTTCCGCACGCGGTGCGGGTCCGAACGGCCGAACGCAAACGTTCCAAGAGGTGAAACCAAAGGGCCGAACACCGGGCACGGCACGGAATACCGTGATGAAGTAAAACATGGTCATGAACAAGTTAAACAAAACAAGAACATGAACTGTTTAACTGTTGTATTGTTGTATGAAAGGTTTATGAACTGGTTTATGAGCTTCTAGATAAGGACATCCTGATGAGTGTTGGTTCTGGTCTCGATGTGCACTTAGCAAAACAGCGTAAGCTGTTTATTGTTGACAACAACATGTGTTAGTGGGCAGAAAGACATCAGAATTATCACATACAGTATCTAGCCAGTCCACTTCAGAAAGATGCAAGAACAGTAGGGCCCACATGCCTCCAAACACAAGAACCAAAGACCAGTCAGTTTCGCCTTGAACAATCCGTAAGGGAAGAAGTAGCCCAAGTAGAGCTGATCCAGACCTCAAGACATCTGCAACACTGGAGATGGTTGAGCTTTCAGACTGATCTGGCCACACGGAACTTCCTCCATCAGCACTGCGATTCCTGCACTCTTGTCTGGGCTCTCCGAACCTAAGAATCCTCCAAACATTGAAATGAGGAACCTGGCAGCTTCCAATCAAGGCAATTGAAGTTCCAACACTATGCCAAACATGCCTGGTAGGCTGTCTCAAACTGTTTTGGTCTGTCCTAGTTACCTAGTGCAATACCTATGCAATGCTCCCCAATGTAGACTGTTGATCAACAACTCCCTCCATTTGCATATGGGGGTGTTCTTCATCCAAAGTCTACATCTCCATACTAAGCCCTTGGGCCATCTCCAACAACTTCATCCAACGACCGTCAATCCAAACTGCCCGGGCGCGGACGCGATCTGCTGAGACTTCCGTGGTGTCTCACAATTGGGATCTGCCCAAGCCTGAGGACTCGGTCGGGAGATCTGCCAAGAACCAGGCCGACCGCAAGTTCTTCAAGGTGTGATTGGACACGGTGCCCAAGCTGCCCAGTTGATGTCAATTTCCAGTCCAACAGTTGGCAAGGACCAGCTGTCACAGCTGCTCTTTCCAGCCTAAAAGTATTTATAGGTCCCAAACACCTGAAAAAGGTGTCCCAAACACCTGAAGCACACC